TTGCCCAAGTGAGGTCCCTTGGGCAAAAGGGAGAAATGGCAGGGGAATCCTCGGAGCCCGAGGAATTTCCTTCGGAGTGTTTTCACTTTTTTTTTTTCCGACTGCACCCCTGAGGATAAGTGGAACGAACAATTCCTCGGGGACTTTAGCCGCCCGAGAAGTGTTGAACGAGCCCCATAATGCCAGTCCCTCCTGCAGAGCCGAAATTTGTGGCAAAGAGAATCGCGTATTCCTGAATTCAACTATGTCAAATCTTGCAGACCATCAATCATCCTGATTATCTTCAGGAATATTATTTTATTTTATCAAATCCCTGAGAAGAGAATGGTGGCAAAAAGGGTAATCAACAAACCGTCTCTGCCAAATATTAGTATTATTATTATTTTTTAATTATTTTTTTTAGCTTTTTTTTTTTAATCTTTGCTTGATTGACTGTCTTCAGTGAGGGAAACACTTTAGCTGGGAACAGACAGAGTTCTAACGGTTAAAGCTGGAAATTGGGTTGAGGGAGTGAAGAGGAGATTATCATCGGCATACACAGAACCCGGTAGCTAATGTGAAAGACCTGTTTTGACTGCCCAGTGTGAAATGGACCGGATCTTCATCTCCATATTGTGAGGAGACCTTTTGGCAGTTCTTGGCTGCGTGATCTCAGTATGGGTTCTTGAGCTCATACTGGGTGGGTGAAATAGGGTGCAAGTTCACCTCAGAGTTGTGTGCACTTGAAAAAGGCTCGATCGGACCTCTTTGCTAGTGAACGAGAATCGCCAGTGCGAAAGGAGAAACAATAGTGTTTCCACTGAGGGGAGGTTTATTGCATTCCCTAGAGACAATCAGTATTTTGAAACAAATCTACATCGAGACGCTGGAACGGCTGCGTGCTCGCTGAGAAATGGGATGCCCACTGTGAAAGCGGGCGGCGCTGAAGCTCACGTTTGTGGTTTTGATTGATCTGAAATTTTCATACATACCCCTGGGCTGCGATTGAGTTTTGCTATTGTCCCTATTGACGCTAAATTGTGTGTTTGCCCTTCGAACTCAGGATAAGTATGTGACGACCCTTTTACGGGTAAATGGTAGAAACACCCCTTCTGATTTGAGTTGGTTCTCAGTTCAACTTTCGTAAAAAAACTATTTTTAATAATACCCGAACTGTAGGAGGGGACCTGGCAGAGGTCTCAGCCTAAATTACAGATCTGCAGGTCTGACAAACTCTTCTTCTTCTCGCTATATATCTCGTTTGAATTTACCTGCATTAAGAGCATTCCAATCTCACAGTATAACTGGGAAGCGACAATCAATCTAAACATCAGTTTCTGTACTGCTGCTGAGGAACTCAGCAGCAAGCACGGCGGGTGACAGATGACGTTGTCCCTGGCTTCAGCGGCGGACAGACGACCCCTCCCTGGGTTTCCTCACACTGGACCCCGTGCTACACGATTGATTTGACAAGAGAAACGTGACCAGAGTCACCAGACCCCCTGATCTACGACATCTTCTTGAGATTTCTTTCTGAGAATGAGCCATCGCAGACGTAGGTTTGGATCGAATCAGGGCTTAGCTCTCACGATCCATGATGACTCACGATGAAAACTGATAGGATGATCGACCCTAGATCGGTAACGAGGCAACCAACCACTGGTCTGGTGAAATTCCGATTTTCGGGACTATCACCCCCCGTTTTTTTTTCCATGCACATTCACCATCAGTCTCTACTTAGGCAAACACTACTCTCCTAGTCCTAGACTTGATAACGCATATAGCAAACGATCTAGACTGATTACCCGCACCATGATGCTGATGGAAAATCTAGGGGACACATGTAGCAGATTCGTGATCCTTCATACTTCACTTTTGCGTTCTTTTTGGAGAGATCAAGTTATCTGCACCCGAATTGATGAGTAGGCGGATCTACATTACCTCACCCACCGCTAAAAAATTGGCACTAACCCGCCTTCGTCCCTTGTCGAGTATTATAATCACCTGTTCCAAAGTTGAATCTCAAAATGACTAACCTTGTTTGGACGAATACTGGTTACATTTATTATGTGATGAACAAGCAGTTGACACGTTATTCGTTAAAATAGGACATTATACTGTGTCCTCTTTCTAACGAATTAATTTTTGGCTGCAGCCTAAGCAACGTAGGCATGCCCATCCAGGGGTTGGGATCCTTACTTGTTGAACATCAAAAACCCGCCACCACATGCAGAAGCGTGCTGAGATCCATACTTGTGAAACTTCATAAATAAAATCCCAAATGTGGAAGTGTGTTGGGATCCTTACTTGTTGAACATCAAAAACATGTTGGTGATCCTGTGGGGAAGTGTGTTGGGATCCATACTAGTCAAACTTCATAAACGAACAACGATTGGCACGCCAAACAGAACCCTGTGCGGAACTGTGCTGTGATCCTAACTTGTCAAACTTCAATTTCATAAATGTGATGAAAGACACGGTAACTATATTGTGACACTGTCCTCTTTCTTACGAATTCATTTTTGACTGCATTGTTTGTACATGGGCATGCCCGCCCAGTCGCCCCAAATGCGAAAGTTTGTTGACATCCATAGTTGTTGAACTTTTGTAAACAAAATTAGCAACGTAATTAGATTGAATTAGATTAAATTGTGCTCCATCGTGATGAATATCCGCGTTTCAAATGGTTATGCAAAGAAGGTTTGGGCATCCACTGACCAATTTCACATAAGATGAGATTTCTCATTCATCCACCAACCAGTTTCACAATCATGTTTACACTTATAGTTGAACAGAATTCGAAACATGGAACACAATACTTCAACTTGAACAGAATTCGGAACATGGAACATTACGTGACATAGATTACAAAGCCCATACATGACGCAGGACATGTATTGAGCTTGCCATAGATAATGCGAACTCGGAACAATGAAAGAAAGCAATGCCTCTGGCAGAAGGACAGTTGAATAATGTCTCGATTTACGAAATTTAACGATCAACGAATGAAACACCTTAAAAAAAAGTTTCGAAATCAATCAAATCCATCAAAGACAACGATGTTCTAAGACACATGATGCTAATTGTCGTCTAAGAAGCGGAATATCTTTACAAGAGAACTGGAAAGGCGGTCGATCTCCATGTTGCAACAACGTCGAATACATCAACATGAACACACCACAGCTTGCTCCATCCACTTGTCTCGGAACTCCATCCACCACAACATTTCCCACCATGGACTTCCAATTCCTACCCGACCGCCTATGTGATGTTTGACGTTCCAAATACTGCACAATCAACCCGAAAACACTAAGGTAAAAACTAGAATCAGCTACAATGCGAGGAAAAGAATCAAAAATTTCGAGAACATCATCTCTCATGTTGACGAAAACGAAGCAAATCTACGTATTTAGCCCACCTCTGCATCCCACCGTGTCCTTGAAGTCGCAGGTTGCCGAAGAAGAACGAATTAAAGCTGAAGACTTGAAGGCCTGAAGAGATGTCACGTGACCCACATGCGGTCGATCCCAACAACTCCATATAGAAATTGACCACCTCATCATCCACCCTGCCGTTGACATGCACGAGGGTGAGGAGATCTTTTGCTGCAATCCGAAATTGACCATCGCCCAGTATAGAGAGAATAGTGTTAGACGGCACCGAGCCTCGTACAATGTCATCCAAAAACCGCAAGCTCAGAGCCGCAATCGTCGCAGCGAAACTTTTCCCGCGTGCTGCACTTGTTGCCCGCACTGCACATTATCATGCAAAGGACATGTGGTGTAGTGAGAAACGGAGTTCTAGACATTGTCCCCGGTGCATGACGCGTTGCTAAGTACTTCTCATACATGGCCTGACCCCTACTCACAGATCGTGGATATGTCCCTTTCTCTGGGGCAAGAAGGGAAAGACATTCCTCAATGGCAACGCTGTACTCCTTCTTCCCGATCTTGACATCAACCCCTGATGCCTTTAACATATCCTTGTGTTTTTTACTCAACCCGGGGACTTTCTGCAATATGTGCTCTGGATATTTGGAGGACCTCCGTGTTCGAGACGACACCACCCCTGTACAACAGAAGAAAGACAAAACGAAAAATGAGAACCATACATTCGTACAGATGCAACAGTCAAGCAGGACCTTTCCGACCACAGGACCCTGATCTCGTGTGGTCATGTGCACCCAGGTGCGGTTGTGCAATTGGAAAACAAAATGACTGCAACATCCGAGCTTATCACCCGCGCACTTCGCAAAGGAAAACCACCACAACTCACAGAAGTCGGAGGCCAGCAATCCGGGAAGTTCGGACTGCGGCAGACTTTTGAACACACCAGCCCCACTGAGACTGACCACATCACGCATCGACAAAGGAAGTTCGGGTCCCGGCGGACTAAAACCGGCACTATTCCCGAAAAAGGAAAACTATCAGTCCATGTAGCTGGCCACTTTCTTAGCACCTTGGCCTACAGTCAAGCAGGACCTCTCCGACCACAGGACCCTGATCTCGAGTGGTCATGTGCACCTAGGTGCGGTTGTGCGACTGGAAAACAAAACGACTGCAACATTCGAGCTTATCACCCCCCGCACTTCGCAAAGGAAAACCACCACAACTCACAGAAGCCGGAGGCCAGCAATCCCCGAAGTTCGGACTGCGGCGGACTTTTCAACACACCAGCCCCACTGAGACTGACCACATCGCGCATCGACAAAGGAAGTTCGGATCCCGGCGGACTAAAACCGGCACTACTCCCGAGAAGGGAAAACTGTCAGTCTATGTACTTGGCCACTGTCTTAGCACCTTGGCCACTTCCTCAGCCGGGTCAGATCCTTCCTTGGATGGAGTGTAAGGTTTTGGACGAAGTTTTCGCCGCGCTCGACTAGCAACCCGGCCGAGTCACAGATAGGGCGACGAGCTGGAGTAGGAAGGGTTTCTGGATGTAGCATGCCGGCACCTGGAACTTCCCGTATGCACAGACAGTGTGGACAGTCGTCGTGTGTATAGCGCGGACTGTAATCCGGCGACATCCGGATGCGCAGGCGTTCTTCAAGGCTTACCAGTTTGTTTCTCTCTCCGCTCCTTTGATGGTGAATTTGGCGCAGGCAAAGCGAGCACGTCGAGAGCCTGACGGCCGAACCTCGATTTTTTTTGGGACGTCAAATGCTGTCCTCCACCGCACTCGCCTTCCCCTTCGGCGGCAAGGGTGGCCTGCAGCACCAGAGACTTCGGCGGCGACGAAGCGAGGGCAGCTGCCACGGAAGATGCGACGTTGGCAGTTGCGGACGGACAGGCAGACACGTTGTGGTCGCCAAGGATACCGTCGATAACTTCGTCGATGCTTATACGTTGACTTTTTTCAGACGGGCTGATAGCGACGGAAGCCTCGTCGAACCGGCGCTGCAAGTCGACAACAGACGTCAGTGGCCGGACCGCATAATCTTCAGGCTCTGCGGAAAGGCTGCTGACCACTTGTGTCTCCATCTCTATTGCCGTGGCATCGTCGTCGACATCATCCTCGTGATGCTCTCCGTACAGTTGTCCAAACTCGTCAGACGACTCTCCAGATCCGGCATCGTCCTCACTGTGTTCCACTTCGTCTTCTCCAGACCCGGCACCCTCCCTTCCTTCAAACAAATCAATTAGCTCCATTTCTCCCGCTTCCTCCCCTTCCACCTCTTCTTCCCCTTCTTCCTCCCCTTCTTGCGCTCCCTTCTGTTCCTCCGTTTCCTCCCCTACTTCCCTCCCACGAAACTCGTCCCCTTCCGCGGTACTCGTGCCGAATCGCGAGGACCACCCTTCCGTCCCCGTGCACGCTGCCCCTCTCAACGGCACGACAATCCCTGGCCGACAAACCCCGCCCGAAGAAGTTCGGATCTCGGCGGACTTCGTGGTCTCCGTGTCGCCGGACCCTGCACTTCCAGCCTTCCGCTGCAATCCTTGAGGTCGTCGCTCCCGCACAGGCGACACCGTTCCGACGTCTCCGTCCCGCGCCGCAATGCTGCGAATTTCTCGATTCGTGCTTGGATCCCCCGACCCCGAGCAGCTTCGCATTCCGGACCGCTCTGGCGGCTCCTCACCCGACGTAGTTCGGATCCCGGTGGACTTCGGCTTTCCGGCCGAGCGAATGGCCAGAGCAACCAAGGCTGCCAACGTGTCCCTCGCTGAGCCCACGGACGAAGTCTGGGGGTCGGCGGAGTGTGTCGTGTGCTCGGGCCGGGTGCCTGTCGACGGAGTCCGGTCGACGGCGAAACCCGCCACCCTGGCGCTGCCTCCCGTTGTCGTGTTGCGGCCGTGAGACCCTCTCTCCCCCATAGGCGGGATTCCTTTGCCACCCCCTGCGTCGCCACCCCCATCCCCTCCGCTTCCAGGTGACCCCCCCCCGGAACCACCGTCCGGCCCACTGGGAGGGGGCACTTTCCAGTCCACCACGCCCTTCGACGGACTCGTGTCGAGCTCGTAGTAATCCTCCGTCAATTCCAACCAGCACTTGTCCTGAAGCTCGTCAAACAGTCGACCGGCAGTGGAAATGAGGGACAGGTCGCCGGTTGCTAAAATGTCATTTTCGACCTTCACTTTCTGGAGGACCGAAATCCTCGCGAGGTGCAGGAAGTTGGACTTCGACTCGCGTGGGAATGACACCCATCCCGCGCCCGGGATTGCCACGGCCATGACCCACTCGCCATTTCRTATCGCTGGYTGGATGAYTCCYGGATGCYARACCATGTYMTGGCCCCAGTCTTGCTCAGGTGAATGACGTTGTGGTTCAAGCAGGAAGTGGATGTTGTCATCCTTCCAAGACGGATGATCGGGCGGGACAACGGACCCGGGACGCAAAGCGGGCGGGGGGGCGGCCAGAGCTCTAAGTCTCTCCAACAACTTCATCGGCGTGGTGCCCGGCGCCGGTTTGGCCAATGGTGACACGAGGGCTGCAACGCTTGGTGACGGACCGGCCGACGAGGACCCTCGGCCGTGGTCCGCCGGAGGCGGGTCGTACTGCAGGTCGATGCTCTCCGTGTCGCTCCCCTCCTCCTTCGCGTTGGCGACAAACTCCACACCTATGGCTTCCTCGTAGTCAGTGAAGATCAGGGAAGCGTAACTGGCTAACTTCAACTGCTCCTCGGACTCCACGAAGTACAGCGACTGCAGCCTTTCGATAAACGTCTTCGCGTTCATGCGGGAGGCGAAGTGGTAGTTGTCGAGCAGTGTTAACATGTGGTCCTTCCGGCGGATGTACTCGGCGTCAGTGTCCCTCCTCGGACGCGTTTGAAGGAACAAGAAATCGTATATCTTATTCCTCTTCCTCTCGCTCAACTTGAACCACATATCCGTCTTCTTGCTCCACACCTTATCCCGTGTTGGCCTCACGACCATGAACTCACAATTGTGCCCACTCAAATTGACCTCGCTTTTCACCACCTGCATCGTGAATTGCAAGAGGTCGGAGTTCCCTTCCATTGCGACAACGTGTCGGCCGGCATTCAGAATCTCCCAGACGCTTCGCGCGTGCGGTTTCCCAAGGAACACAACACCCTCTCCCTTCTTGCCAAGAAAATCAAGAAGACCGACGAATTGGGTCGGAT